CAATCGCACTGTACGTGCGCGCCCGCATGTGGTATTTTGAGGAAGAGCCACACTCGAGGGGCCAAAGAGCCGCATGTGCCTCGCGAGCCGCGGTTTGCCGACCATGGGTCTAGCGTGTCTGCCCGACACCGCACTGGAGATCTAGAGATGGACAGTGGCTGATGTGCAAGGGACAATGGCTTTAAGAGGACAGGGCAGTGCCCTGGTGTGGCTCAGTGGTTGAGCGTCGACCTATGATCCAGGAGGTCAGGGTTCGATTCCTGATCAGGGCACATGCCCGGGTTGCGGGCTCGAACCCCAGTGTGGGGTGTGCAGGAAGCAGCCGATTAATGATTCTCTCCCATCACTGATGTTTCTAGCTCTCTCTCCCTCTCCCTTCCTCTCTGAAATCAATAATATATATATGTGTGTGTGTGTGTGTATATATATATATATATATTAAAGGCACACCCTGGGGAGCTGCTGGCCCAGGAGCAGGGAGACCCATGGGACAGCCCTGAGTCCCACCCACAGCCTGAAGCAGAGCCACCCAACCAACCTGCAGACCCACCAACAAGGAAAAGAAACTATAGCCACAGCAAGGAAACAACCTAAATGTCGGGCAACAGAAGAATGGACCATTGCGTTTATATTATCTACTGTATAAAATGGGTATTCTGGCCCTAGCCGGTTTGGCTCAGTGGATAGAGCGTCAGCCTGTGGACCAAAGGGTCCCGGGTTCGATTCCGGTCAAGGGAACTATCTCAGTTGCAGGCTCCTCTCCGGCCCAGGCCCTGGTCAGGGCTTGTGCAGGAGGCAACCAATCGATGTGTTTCTCTCACATCGATATTTCTCTGTCTTTCCCTCTCTTCCACTGTCTCTAAAAATCAATGGAAAAATATCCTCGAGTGAGGATTGAAAAAACAACAACAACAAAAACACCTGTTATTCTTTGGCCATAAGAATGAAGGAAGCCCTAACCGGTTTGGCTCAGTGGATAGAGCGTTGGCCTACGGACTGAAAGGTCCCAGGTTCGATTCCGGTCAAGGGCATGTACCTTGGTTGCAGGCACATCCCCAGTAGGAGATGTGCAGGAGGCAGCTGATGGATGTTTCTCTCTCATCAATGTTTCTAATTCTCTATCCCTCTCCCTTCCTCTCTGTAAAAAATCAATAAAATATATATATTTTTTAAATGAAGGAAATCCTGCCATTTCCAACACCATGGATGGGATCCTGGCGGAAGCACACCCTCCTCTCCTTTCCCCTCACCTCCATCACGCTCTGACCTCCAATTGGGACTGGGCTTCCCGCTGGGAGAGGGTGGGGTCCATAGCCTGGGAGGGTAGCTTGGAGGAGAGGCCACGCCACCCTGAAATACTCCTCCACTTCCTGCCACTTTACCCACGGACTCAGCATATTCATAGCCACGGAGGGACAGTGCCGGAGCGGGTCCCGGGGTGGTTTTCTTTTGACGAGGATTCGAGCCAACAGGGCCACCAGGAGCAGGATGAGGGCAGCAACCCCTACAATTGTCCAGAAGCTGCAAGAACCAGAACAGGGAGGTGGTCACTTAGCAAAATAAACACGTTGGTGCTGGGAATTTCCTGGCTGTTGAATACAGCCGCTCCCAGCCCTGCCTCTGCCAAGTGCTGTGGTGTGAGTGGCGTTTCTTTGCGGCTCTGTGGCCCCTCTTGCCCCTGCCCTTGTGAGACTTTGGGGGACCAGAGCCACCAGCTCCGCATTCTCCTGTCAGCCGCCCCCCATACCCGTCCCTGCACAGGGGATGTGTCCCAGCGGCTGCTGCCTCTGCTCCTCCAGCCCCTATCCCCTCAGTGCCAGCGGGAAACCCTGGGACCGCGCCCCAGGAGCCACGTGGAGTCACAGTTATGCACACCTTCCGGAGGACAAGGCCACATGTATAATCAAAGGTACCAGAGGGCCCTGGCAGGTGTGGCTCAGTGGATAGAGCGTCCGCCTGCAGACTGAAGGGTGCCAGGTTCGATTCCTGCCAAGGGCACATGCCTGGGTTGTGGGCTCGATCCCCAGTGGGGGATGTGCAGGAGGCAGCCAATCAATGATTCTCTCTCATCATTGATATTTCTAACTCTCTGTCCCTTTCCCTTCCTCTCTGAAATCAATAAAAATATACATATTTTTTAAAAGTTGAGCTAAAATCTGAGGCCAAAGTTTGGACTGATTCACTCACTCCAGCAAGGAGAGAGGTCTCCCCTCACCCGTGCCAGAACTGGGGTTTAGCGTTTCTTCAGCCTGTGGGCTGAAGGGTCCCAGGTTCAATTCTGGTCAAGGGCACATGCCTAGGTTGCGGGCTTGATCCCCAGTGGGGGCGTGCAGGAGGCGGCCGATCAATGATTCTCTCTCCTCATTGATATTTCCATCTCTCTCTCCCTTTCTCTCTCTGATATCAATAAAAATATATTTTTTAAAAATAATAATAAAATAAATAAAAACCAATGGAAAAATAGTCTCAGGTGAGGATTGCCAAAAAAATTAACAAATAAAAATAAAAAACATATGGAGGAAAAATATATATATTCTGCACCCCCTACGTGCCTGTCTGCCTGGGGACCCATCTCAATGGACTCTGACTCTCCCACCCTGGAGGCCACCGCGGGTCCCACCAAGGCACTCTCCCTCTCACACCTCTGGGACCAGCAGGGTTTCCAGTTCCACAAGAAGCTCAGCCGGATCCACTCCAGTGCCTGCCACACCAGAGACTCAACAGCCCTAGAGGCAGCTGAAAGCACCGCTGCTGCCTGGACGGCGTGGCTCAGTGGTTGAGCGTCAACCTATGAACCAGGAGGTCAGGGTTCAATTCCCCGTCAGGACACATGCAAAGGGTTGCAGGTTTAATCCCCAGTAGGGGCCATGCAGGAGGCAGCAGAACGGTGATGGTCCTCTCTCATCTACCCTCTCCCTTCCTCTCTCTCTGATAAAAGCATACTAAAAAAAAACTAAATATATATTTCATCTGATAAAAATATAATAAAT